TTTTGGTAAGAGGAGGGAGGCAAAACCCAACAAAAGTCGAAAGCTACAAGACTACGCTACGAGTATATGCAATTCCCGCTAAATCATGCTCCAACCAAACTTTAATCCCATTCGGCGGATTATACAACTTAAAGTAACCATAAAGTAACCAGACGAACCCAATGCCGCTTGTGACGCTAAATGATGAGCTGCATAATTGGCTTTCCTGTAGGTATGGCGGATCACCACTTCCCAATTGTGCCTCAAGAGAGCTCTTATACCCAAAAGCAAGCTCCGATGAATCCTGATTGCTCTTCGTTGCTCAGCGCCATATGAACAATACTAAAGTTATCAATCTTGACTAAAATTTGCTGACCCTGAAGCTCCCAAACGAGTTGTAACCCATCATATAAACCCCAAAGTTCTGCCCGTCTTTGAACTATAGTTGTGAATGTTTGAAAAGTTTTATTGTTCGGTGGAGATTGGTTTTTTATGATTGAGATATTTGTATTTGCTGTTTTTGTGGTCGTCTTTGAACTACATTTATATTTGAAAGTGCTTGTTTTTATCTTTTTATCGCCCTTTTTTAAACAAAAAAAATGAAATATGGTCATTTGTTAAGACATAAATGAAATATAGCCATTTCAAGATATAAAAAAACAACTACCCTTACAAAGTATTTTACCTACCAATAATTCATCTTCCACTTCAATTCCCCATCATTAAAATGAAAAAAAGGGTAAAAAATGAAAAAAGTGTATAAGAGCAATTAGGTATTTTTACAAGCCAAAATGGTTATATTTCATTCTTTTAAAAAAGATGGTTATATTTTATTTTCTCTTTGGTTTAAAGGCTAAACAGGGGCATTACCACTCTAGATATTATTGAAAACCAGCATATTGGCATAATGTAGAGCAAAATATGCATCCTTATACTCGGCGCGCTTCGTGCACATGTGCGTTTTGCGCAACCGTGAACCATTAAATAACAAAAGTTGGGCTCATTTAATTATGTGCCTATTTGACCTATTGGTTATATGAATTTAGAGTTATTCGAATCGAGCTGTTTGCTAACATAGCTTGATTTTGATTCGTAAAAGATTAAACTATGCTTGCTTGTTTGATTACTTAAATGAAGTCGAGTTTTTTAACAGCTTCATTAGTTGTTAAGTCATGAAAGATTTAACTTAACGCTAATAATCTCGTTTATTAAATGGACTAAGTCTGAGATTTTTTTTTCGAGAATATATTTTTTATGAATTTTAAATGAAACCATTAAGGTTAACTTCTTCGTAAACAATGGTAAGTGTTTCGCGACTTACTTAGGATTTTAGAGCATGTTTGTTTGTGAAAAAATTAGGGTTTGTTTGGATTTATTGGTTTGATTTAGTTATTTTTGAAAAGGTATAAATAATTTACAAAATCTAGACACATATTTTTTTTAAAATTTAATTTTGTATACTAATTAAACAACTTTGATTTATGAAATGCCAAAAACTCAACCCTCTATAACTATATTTTTCTAATTTGTATTATAATGATTTATAGTTTATTTAGCATATTCTGCAATGAAAATATATTTTACAATAATTTCATTATAAAAAAAAAATAAAAAAGGTACAAAATAAAAATAATCATGGTTGTCAATAATATACAACTAAGTTCTAAAGGATAGTTAATATATTTCAATTTAAATTTTTGACCATTAATAAATCCATTTAATGTATCTGGTCGTTACTTTTTAAATGGTAAATTATATTTATTTGAAGAATAATTTATTTTTATATACACCTAAATAAAGCTTAAAAAAAATATATTGACAAAGATTAATTCACTACCGTGATTTCGCGTGATTAATTGAAGAAAAAATTCTACCCAACCTGATATGATTTTCTATAAATATTTTGTGAAAATAAAGATTAATATTATGGTTAGATTAATATTATGGTTAGAAGTTAAAATATGTTGTGATATTTATCTTGACCAATATATTGTAAACATGAATCACGAAAATCAATATTGTAATTTATTAAAATGGATATCAATAAAATTATTGCAGATGTTAATAAAATTATTTAAAGGAAATAATATTTTTTTATCATATATGATTTAATCTTATTTGAAAAAGTGTATAGAGAAGCAATTAATACATATATACTTAAAAAATTTATACGTGTATCTATCCATCATACAAATTATTCGGCCATCATTTTAAATGTATTCCGATTTATGTGTGTATCTCTGCATCAGACTGTTTTACAGAAAATGATACTGGCCAATTTTTTGTACCATAGAAAGATAACAAATTATACCATTCAAGAGCAGCATTAAATGTTGCCTGGTTTTTTTTTTGATATTTTGACCATCATATACATCTGTTATGAAGAGTATACAAGATAATAATATTTAGTTTTATTTTATATTTTTTTAAAATTAAAAAATACAAATACAATATATGGTCAATTCATTAAAATCGACAGTTTCATATATATTTTGATATCCTCCCTATTATTCCCGAATACGTTGAGTTTACGTGGCTGCTTCTGGTGCTTCGGAATCTTACTTGGCAAAGAATCATGCTTCGTAATTAGGTTTGGAAAAATAATATTCATATATTAATAATTAATAATTTAGGTTTGGACATTCTAAAAATTATTTTAGCTAACTTAGGTATTTTAATATCAATTGTACTAATATAACCCTTTATTTCTTTGTAATTTTACATAGTGAGACACTAAATGACTAATATATGCCTAACTTTTGATTTGTTTCATTCAATTAGCTATTGAATTTAAATGTTTTAAAAGTTGATAACTTTTGTATTTATTATCAAGTTTACATATATAATATATCAAATTAAACGTTTTTTGATGATCTCCGATCTGACATCCACATTGTATATATGAAATAAATAAATTCATAGGAATATCGATCTGAAATTGCGCAATTATATTTATCTTTATAATGATAAAAATAATAATATTTATTAAAATTTATTAGAAAAATAAAATTATTTCTCAATTGATATATTTATGTTTAATGTAGTTATATGTTGTAAGTTAAAAAAATTATTATAATATAACAC